CTGAGCCTCACAACAACTCTGAGAAGCAGGTGCTATTTTTATCCACATTTTATAGATGAAGAAAGTGAGGCAAACAAGGAGGAAGTGATTTGCCCAAGGTCACACAGCTAGTAAGTGTATGAGGCTGGATTTGAACTGTCTTCTTGACTCCAAGCTCAGCATTCTATACATTGTACCATCTAGCTATCTCAATTTGTCTGAACTATTTTTAAAAACCTTCTAATTAACTTCCTTATTTATAGTTTTTGTTCTAATTCATTCTCCATTCAACTGCCAAATGAATTTTCCTCAAGCATCAGTCCATGTCACCTTACCATTCAATAAACCAGTGGCTTTCTCTTACCTACAGGATCAAATACAAAGTCCTCTGTCTGCCATTTAAAGCTCTTTAAAACCTGGTCCTTTCTTATTTTTCCAGTGTTCTAAAGTCTTACTCCCTTTTGCGCACTCTAGGGATTGTGACACTGGCATTCTTGCTGTTCCTCAAGAGTTAACTCAAATCTCACTTTCTGTCAAAAGCTTTTCCCCATTCCTTGGCTAATACTTTTCCTCTGAGATTACCTTCCATCTATTCCATCTTACCTATTTACATATTGTTTTCCCCATTAAAATGGAAGCACCCTGAGGAAAGGGAATGTTTTTATCTTTCTTTATATGTCCCGAGCTTAGTACACTGTCCGGAATGTAATAAGTGCTTAAATCATGGTACACCCCTACTCAAAATGTTTAATTGTGTTTCTATTAACTATAAGATAAAATGCAAACTCCTGAGGCTGACATTTAAAGGCCTCCAGCCAAATGAAGCCATGAGCTTGTTCTTGAACTTGACATGCCAAGTTCTGCCTTTACTTACTGCACACAGCGTGACCCCTGGGCCTAGAATGTTCTCTCTCTCTCTCTCTCTCACACACACACACACACACACACACACACACACACACACACACACACACACACGATCTGCCTTCCAGGATCAGCTCAAGTGCTAGCTCCTCAGTGAAATCTTCACAGACCCCCTTCTATCTCCTCAAATTATTTTGTATTCACTTATCTGTACACCTATTGTATCCTCCAGTGGAGTATCAGTTCCTTGAAGGGAAGGGTTATCTCAGTTTTGTCTTTGTGCCCCCTGGAACTGGCACGGAGAAAGTGCCAAATCAATGCTTTTTTTTTTTAACTGAATTTGCATTCCTGGCATCTATTATAGTGCCTTTAATATACAGAAGTCACTTAAGGAACACTGAGATGCTCCAAAAATATCTGAACTGAATTGGCAGGGGTCTTCTTCCCTCTGGAAATGCTTTCTTATATTCCCTTTATGAAAAACAGAGATGGCTTCTTAGGATCAGGTAGTAAGAAAAGGCATCCACTTCTTCTGGCAGGGTACACTCTTTAAGAACTGTAATGATAAAATATGTATCCCTGAATTTAGGATTTGGAGGCATCATTAAACTCGAAGAGTTTCTCTTTTTCTTCTTTTCTGATTCTCTTAAGTTATTAGATTTATGCTTTATTACGCTGAAACACTTGGTAATTATTACCATTAGAAACCAGTTGGAGCTCATCTAATCCAGCAATAATCTGGGCAGTTAATATTTCTCCCCTAAGGTACTCTTTTCTTCCCAGGGCTCTATTTAGCCTGTGATCTTCCTCCTTTTCAGTATCTTTGCTATGTGTCTGTTGCGTTTGGCTGGTAGGATTCTATGTAAAAGTGAAAGGCTATCTTGCAGGTTAGAAGTTCTCAAATCCTCTCTGGACTTTGCTGGCTGGCTCCAGGTTCAGGCATTATCAGACAGAATATAAAGTGTCTGAGTTTCAGAATCTGGATATAAATGACAGAATAAAATCCAACACAATGGGAAGAAAAGAGTGCAAAAAGAATGTGATGGGAAGGATATGCCAATGGAATTTGATGGCTTTTTGTTTTCTAAACTATGGGTTTTGGTGAAATATTGTGGTTAGGTTATGTTAAAACTAGCTGTCATTTGGAATTTTTATCCTTAACATATTTCTTATTTAATAGTGACAGAAGGAAGTTAATGCCAGTGCCTTCTCTCAGAGATTATTCTTGTTTGTCTTATTTTTACATTGTTTTTTACATTCTGTTTCCCCTATTAGATTGTAAACTCTTTGAGGGCAGGGACTATTTTGCCTTTCTTTGTATCCCCAGTGCTTAGCACAGTCCCTGGCACATATAGGTACTAAATAAATGTTTTCTGACTTGGCAACAGGGTAGGTGACCATTTTTATGCATGCTCAAAAGCCAGGGACACTGGGGAGGAGTGGGAGAGTAGGGGGAGACCTGCGGCCTACAGGCCACATGTAGCCCTCTAGGTCCTCAGGTTCAGCCCTATTATTGAATCCAAATTTCACAGAACAAATCCCCTTAATAAAAGGATTTGTTCTGTAAAACTTGGAGTCAGGCAAAAGGCTGCATCCAAGGGCTAGAAAGCCATTTATGGCCTGGGGGCTGCAAGTTCCCCATGTGGGTTAGACAATAGCCAGCAACAGGGTGTCTTCAGGAACTGCTTCAGCAGAAATGTCACACCCACATGCTTCCCCACTGGCCCTTCTCTTCCTGCTGGAGACAGTACTCACACTCTGCAGAGTGGTAAACACTTTGGGATGTGTATATAGGGAAGGTATATGAAAATCATATTCTTTTCTCTCTCCAAATAAACCTGTAGAGGGAATTCCGTGTAAGGTTTATAGGAGTCTGCTTTTTAAACTTGAGGTGGGAGAACTGGATCCAATGATGTTTTCCTCCACTGAAGTCTTACCCCAATGCCTCATGGCTGGTGGTAACCCTGGTTTTCAAAAACAACATCCTCCCCAAGCTGGATAGGCTTTACGTATGATCCTGGGAGAATCAGTATGTCTATCATTCGAGGACTGGCCCAGCTAAATTCAGAGAGGTTCAACACCAGAAGGGGTACCATTAAGTGGTGAATTTGTTGGCTTTATCTATCCATGAAGATCATTTCCTAAGGCATGAAGGGGTTATGATCTACATTGTCAGAGGGAGTAACCACCCTGATGAAATCAAGGATCCTTACAACAGTGAAACATACTATAACCGGTACATGCTAGTTCATCTCTCAGAAGTCTGAGGAGCATTTAGTGACATTTAAATTTGATTTTTCATATCATGTACTGGCTAAGGTACGTAGATGGGAAAAGTCAGAGCAGTGGACAAAGAAAGGGCACCTGGGGACTTTGTGATGATTACAGATGAATGGCAATACAGGCCTGGCATGCTTATAATGGAATCTGTGAATCTCTTATCCTGGACTTAGTCATTTTTAGTCCAGAGGCTTTTGTACTGGTGGTCATGCATCTTTCCTTCTCACACTTAAGCGAATCTTCAAATGGCAGCACATAGAGCTGAAATACAAAAACTATGCTATAGGAAGATCCTTTCCACATGTTCTCTAACTATAAAGGTGAAGGAGGACTTCAGGAGCCCCCATATCTACTGCTTAGAGTTCTTTAAGTTTTACTGGAATATCCAGGGAAGCCTTGATTTCATTCCTGCTATTTATTTATGAAAAGTCCAAGGGCTGCAGATTTATAGGGAATTTCAAGAACTCCTGTAAGGATAACATTTCCCCACTCCATCTCCACATTTTCTAAGCTCCACAGTTTAGGTGCAAGAATTGGACATACTCAGTTATTTTTCCATGGTTCAGCATTGGATTTCCTGTGGTCCACTATAATGGAGAGGTGCATTTTGGATCAAAATCTCCTTTCTAGCATCTTCTGGGATTTAGGAGTTCTTCTGCTAAATACTAACTCTAACTCTTATTTTAAATTATTTTAGATTGAAATCCTTCCCAGTAAGGCATGTAAATTGTTGGTTTCAATTTACCTCTATATAAACTGAAAAAAAAAATCCTTACCAATTTGCGGGAGTTAAAAATAATATATGTGAAATCCCCTGAAGGTAAAAATGCTATGTTAGCATTACTACACCGCGGTTATTGACTTATCTTAATTATTCAGTATTTTGCCAAAAATGTTAAAAGTGGGTCCAATTAAATAAGAGAGATGATCATTGTTGCTATCTTAAATCAGTTGTTTGTTTTAGTTTCAAAAGGCATGAAGTCTAAAAATATGTTATATTTTATCATGTAATTAAAGCATGGAAAAACAATAAGGTAGTTTAGAGAAATCTGTAGTCATGTTTATTTACTACAAAGAAACATCTAAAATTTCAATAACATTAATAAACTAACATCACAGTGACTGATTAAATATGAATTAGATTTAAGAGGAAAGGCAGTGTGGTATGGTAGGTAGAAGTTCAGCTGTGGAATCAGGAAGACCTGGGTTCATCTGCCTCCAGAACACACTATATAAAAGCTTGGGACGAGTCAATTAACCTGTCAGTTCCCCAGGCTAATCTCTAAGACTATAATGTACTGATCTACACTGATGGAGGGTTTTCCATATCAGAGTTATTTGCAGGGATGAAATCACAAACATGGATTCCCTCCTCTATCCCCTACCCCCATAAGGTGTGAGAAGTTTCTCTTACTTTGAACTAACAGTAAAAGAATACCTAAGATGAGTAAGAACATCTTTGCAGTCGCTCCTGCAGAAAAGCCATGCTTTTCTATATATTTGACATTTTCTGTTCTTTCCCACTTTCCCCTCTAAGATTTGAAAAATGTATCCATTAGTATGACCATGCAAATATCTCTTTTTTAGCCTAGGTCTAATTCCACAGTCAAAGGAGAAAAGATCTAGGATGGGCTGGACCTGCAATCTCACTGGCACAGGGAATTCCCGAGTAAGGGAATCCCCAGCACCTTCCTCCCAGAGCACTGAGGGGCGAAGCGATTTGTTCACAGTAACACAGCTAGCACACATAAGTGACAGTACTCAAACTCAGGTCTTTCTGCCTTTAAGCTCAGCTCTCTAGTCACTATGCTATGCTGTCTCTCCGAAGACAAAGAACAGTATCAATCACAATTCTAGAACATTTATCAATAGCTTACCATAATGTAGTGCTGTCTGGCCTTCATTATCCTACAAAGAAAGGAAATAACACACTTTAGAATTCCAAGCAAGTGATATGTTCAGTCATCTATCAGTCATGTCTGACTCTTCGTGACCCTATTTGGGGTTTTCTTGGCAAAGATAGTGGAGTGGTTTGCCATTTCCTTCTCCAGCTCATTTTACAGATGAGGAAACTGAGGCAAACAGGGTTAAGGGACTTGCCCAGGGTGCTAGCTGACACAAAGCTAATAAGTGTCTGAGGCCAGATTTGAACTCAGGAAGATGATTAAAATGTTTTTAAAAACAAACAAACAAACAAAACAAGTCCAGTGATAGGGAAACAACGTTTCAGTCAGCTTTCCCCCCTCTATTGTTGTTTGGTTAAGATGTCTTGCTTATTAGCAAAAATGGTCGATCCCAGAACTTTAGCAGCATGCGGTAAGGAGAAGTTCCAGCATGCGTGATGGTATGCTGATGTGCTCCTATATCAGAGCCAGGTAAGATGGGAGCAGGGAACATTCAGTGCAAAGATAAAATGGCAAAATGCTGAAGAGGCAGATTGTCAGATAAATAATTTCAAACACTTTCATAGCATGTACTTGATTGTTACACAGACCTCCAAGCTTAAAACTCCTAACCTTGCTTTACATTTCCATCTTAGCCCTTGGATTTGGCAGTTCCTGAGAAATGCTGATGCATCATCCAGCACAACTGTGATTTATGTTTGCATTTTGAATTGTACCCCTTTTTCCCCAGGAGGGGTTCTGCCTTCAGATCCAATTATATCTCTAACCATGGAAAATCCAACCCCTTGTGGAAAGAAAGGCTAACAATTGGGTGCTTTTACTGTTTTAAGCTGTTAGTGAATGGCTATAATACGTGAGTAAGTAACTACAAAAACCAAGTATATATGTTCCAAGATTCACAGCCACATAGCATCACTGGGAGAACAAAGGCATTAAAAAGATGGGTTTTTCTGTTAGGGAGTCATGTTTAAAAAAAAGATGAGCCTCTGTTTCAGGGAGAAATTTAGGATCATTAAAAACACTGAAGGGGAGCCATGATCTTATGAGTCTGAGCCTTTAGATTAAAAAAAAGCCGATATGTTTAGTAACTATGAAACCCTGGGAAAGTCACAAAAATCACAGAATTTTAGAAATGGAAAGATCTCACCTAACAAATAGTATCCAGCCTCTACTAAAAGACATACAATGAGGGGGAACTCACTAACACTCTCAAAGCAAACCTATTTAACTTTTGAATAGTTCCAATTTTTTTTCCTGACAAAGTCTAAATTTTTACTATATTACCATAGGAATATCTTATGAGGTAGGGAAAAAGGCAACAATATTTATACAGAGGAACAAAAGATCAAGAATCTTAAAGAGTAATAATGAAAAAAAAAACCAAAACCAGTGGGAAGGAAGTGTGGAGTGTCTCAGTCTACCAGATCTCAAACTATACCACAAAGCAGCAAAACATTAAAACAATTTGGGACTGCTTAAAAAGGTAAGAAGTTGATCAGTGGGATAGATTAGGCCTACAACACAGAAAGAAACATGGTACCACAGTCTTTGATAAACCCAAAGACCTGATTACTGGAGAAAGGACTCACTATTTGACAAAAACTGCTAAGAAAACTGGACAGCAGTCTGCAGATGTTGAGTTTAGACTAAGATCTCATACCATTTACTAACATCACCATCACCTAGCATTTGATACAGTGCATTAAGGATTGCAAATCATTTTTAAAATGCTATCTCATTTTATCTTGACAACTTGGGGAGGTAGATGCTATTATTACCTCCATTTTTACAGATAAGGAACTGAAGCACACAAGGTTAAGTGACTTGCCCAGGGTTACATAGCTAGTAAGTCTGAGGCTGGATTTGAACTCAGGTCTCCCTGACTCTAAGTCCAGTGCACTACATCCACTGCATCATTCATCTAATTTTCACCAAGATAAGTTCCAAATGGATACATGAGACCTAGAAATAAAAAGGTTATATCATAAAGAAATTAGAGGACAAAGGAATATACTACCTTTGAGATGTATCAATAGTAGAGAAGTTCAGAAGAAACAAGTGATAGAGGTCACCCAAATTAAAGAGTTTGATGATATAAAATTTAAAAGTACTTGTACAAACACCTTAAAATGAGAAGGCAAACAAGTAAACAGGAAAAAAAAATCTTTGCAGTCAGTTTCTCTGATGAAAGTCTCATATCCAAGGTATATAAGAAATTGATTCATGGCTACAAAACTATGGGCCATTCCACAACAGAAGAATTGTCAATGGATACGAACAGGTAATTTTCAAAGGAAGAAATCTAAGCTACCAACAAAGCATATGAAATAATGCTCCAAATCAACAATAATTAGAGAAATGCAAATGAAAGCAACTTTAAAGTTCTACCTCATACTCATCAGACTGGCAAAGATTCCAAAAAAAGAAGATGCCAAATGCTGGAGGGGCTGCAGGAAAACAGACTAGTAACTGCTGGTGGGAATGTGAACTAGCATAGCCACTCTGAAAGCAATTTGGAACTATGTCCCAAAACTTAGTAAAACTGTGTCTATACCTTTTTTGACCCAGCTATACCACTATTAGGCTGTTATACCAAAGAGATCAAAAGAAGAGGAAAAGGATCTCTGTGTATGGAAATATTTACAGCAGTCCAATTTCTTAGCCCAAATTGGAATTAGCCCAAAATTGGAAACTGAGGAACACTGCCCTCCTCTTGGGGAAAGGCTAAACAAGTTATGGTATATGAATGTGATGGAATACTACTATGCCATAAGAAATGAGATTCTGAGAAATCTGGAAAAACTTGTATGAAGCAACGCAGAGTCAAGTGAGAAGAACTAGAATAATATATAACATGAAAATAATACTTGGAAAAAAAACAAGTTTAAAAGACTTTAGAACTCATCAATAGAAAGATAAGCCCTGAGACTAGAAGACTAAAGATGAAATATGTCACTTACCTCTTGGCAGAATGGTGATGAACTTAAAATTGAGAGACAGAGAGAGTGAGAGAGAGAGAGAGAGAGAGAGAGAGAGAGAGAGAGAGAGAGAGAGAGAGAGAAATATACACGTTTTCAGGAGTGACCAGTTTGGTAATTGATTTTGCTGGGCTATGCATGTTCATGATTAGAAATTTATCTATCTATCTTTGTTCAATGAGGACGTCACAGGAGGGGCAGATTACAAATGCATGTAAAAATAAATAAATTTTCAAAAAAATCTAAGTGTTTCTTTGCAACTTCCACTAACTGTTCCTGATTTTATCTTCTTGGGCCAAACAGGGCAAGTGTAATTCCCTTTCACATGACAGTCCTTCAAATACTTGAACAGCTAGCCTCTCTCTAGTCCCTTTCCCCTCCCCCTGCTTTCTTTTCTCCAGCTGAAAACTAAACATCCTTTGGTTCCTTTATATGATACTCTTGGGCTCAAGGTCCTTCATCATTTTGATTGCCTTCTTCTGGGCACTCTCCAGCTTATTAATATGCTTTTTTAAACGCTACCCCTCAGAACTGAATACAATACTTCAAACATGGTCTGGCCAAGTCTTTCAATGCAGCTGAAGACAACATTAACTTTTTCAGCTGCCATATCACAGTGAATGAAGGAATGAAAAAACATTTATTAAATGATTACTATATGCCAAGCACCGTGCTAAATGTTGGGGATATAGACAGAAAAACAAGACAGTCCTTGCTCTACATTCTAATGGGGAGAAAACACATATAGCAAGTTTCAGGTGAAATCAGATGGAAAGGCCCTTGGTTCTTATGATGCCTCAGCAAAATAGATGGTAATGCATCTTCTTTCATGTCATTTTCATTAATTAAACAATTATCTTTGATGAGATACTTTGATAGTGAGTGTGTTCCCTTCTAGTTCCTCAATAGCTGTTGTCTGTCTTTAAGTTCTTAAAGAGGACCATGACATCAGGGGGGTGATGCCATGACATTCAAGGGAACTGTATTTAAGTAAGGGAGGGCCGTGCAAGGTCACCAGCCTCACTTTTTTCTTTGGAGCCATCTGGTTCCAGTAGCCAGATACAGATCAGGATGACTGGAGATGGCCTCCTCTTCAGTAGGTATGGCTCCATCAAATGCAGTGCTCAATGACTAATACTGAATCTGTGTGCATAGTAAACACTAGATCTCCTAGATCTTTTTTAGACAAACGTTTACTGCTACGTAACCAGGTCTTCTCCATCCCGTGCTTGTGAAGTTCACTTTTTTCATCCATGCATAAAACATTACCTTTATCCCTACTGAATTTCATCTTTCAAATGCTCATCATTCATCACCACTTGAGCTCTTCAATAGTCTCATAATTGTTTTCCCTACCTCAAAGTCTCTCTTCTAAAGCACAGGTCTGACTATAACTCTTCTATCTGGCAATTAAAGCCTTTTACCACCTGACTCCCATATGCCTTTCCAGTCTTATTCCACTTCATACACTTTTTAGTACGACAAAACTGTAATTCTTGCTGTTCCTCCCACATGACACCTCATCTCCCAACTACAGGCCTTTGTACAAGCTATCCCACATTCTCTCTTCACTTCTCCTCTTAGAATCCCTAGTTTCCTTCAAAGGTCAGTTCATGTTACCTCCTACAGAAGGCCTCTCCTCACACCTCCAGCTATTGGTACCTCACTGCCACCATTATTTTTATTTATTTGCATATATTTTGCAAACATATTTTGGTTATTTCCCAGAGAGAATGTAAGCTCCTTAATGCAGGAACAATTTCATTTTTGTCTCTGTATCCCCAAATACCTGGTGCTATGCTTGGCACACAGTAGGTTCTTAATAAATACTTACTAATTGATAGATTGATCTTCTTATAGCCAGCTCAGCATTCTAGGATGTCAAAATCTATTTGGATCCTGACTTTTGTCATCCAGTGTTTTAACTATCCCTCCCAACTTTGAGGAATCTTCAAATTTAATGAGTATGCCATCTATCCTTTTATTTAAGAAACTAATAAGAATCCTAAACAGCACAGATTCCTGG